TTTGTTTCTCTAAACATTCCGAAATCTAAAATTAAAACACAATAACACGCTGAATAAATATTAATTCGGAAGTAAAACAACAAAAATCAGCGTTATATTTTCAAAATTTTCACAGGACTAGTTTCGATGGTTTTACCGAACCACCATCCTCAGCTGCAAAACCCCAAATGAACAAGATAGAACATAATGATTAGATAAGGTAAGAAAGCCTGGACAGGAATAAGCAAGTGGCGCCATCTGTTGATGAAACCAGAACTAAAACATAATTTTTTTAAAGGCCAAAGGCAAAGATGAATTGGAATTAGAATCGTTAACTAGAACAGAAAGATTTTTTTGAATGTGAAATGCCTCTAGAAAATCCAGTTCTCGAATGGAAGATTTTTTTGAATAATTTGGGCAGCAGAAAAATTGAAAGTGTGATTTTCGGACCAACAATGTTGAGCAACAGAAAACTTCTGTGTTTCCTTTTTTCTAACATATGCCTCATGTTCCTTGACGCGAAATTTTAAGGCTCTCTTAGTTTGGCCAATGTAAATTAAACCACACTAGCAAGGAATCCTGTAAATACCCCAGGAATTCATATCCGGAATGGGGTCCTTGAGTATGGAACTCGGAATTTTATTGATGGGAGAATATACAATCCGAAAGTTAAATTTCTGCAAAATATGTGCAACTTTATAGCTAATTGATGGAAAGAAGGGAATGACAACAGAACAGATTCTGTCCAATCCATCTTTGCCTAATTCCATCCTAATTCCAATCCATCTTTACCTTCGGACTTTAAAGAAATTATGTTTTAGTTCTGGTTCCATCAACAGATGGCGCCACTTGCTTATTCCTGTCCAGGCTTTCTTATCTTATCTAATCATTATTTCCTATCTTGTTCATTTGCGGTTTTGCAGCTGAGGATGGTCGTTCGGTAAAACCATCGAAACTAGTCCTGCGAAAATTTTGAAAACATAACGCTGATTTTGGTTGTTTTACTTCCGAATTAATATTCCGAAATCTGTTTATCAATTTCACGCTGCTCTGCAGGGCGTCGCGCAATGAACTGGAAGTTGATCTGTCAGCACTATCCTTATCTTCAGGGCAGATGTTTTTATTTCATTCGGCTTATAATTCCTTACTAAATGCAGTAGTTCATCTTGATGTACCCCGTCTTTGATATGATTTAAATCAAATTAATCGTCATTATAAATATCACGAATACACATCAAATAGTTTTCTGGTTGCAATTTTCTAATTTTGACTATGCGTAATGTATACTTTACGCATGCGCACATTGAAAGAAATGCTTAATAAAATAAGCAAATAAATATTAAGCTTTTTTTTTTTTTTTGTAAATTTTGATACCATTTAGATCATAATTGCTCTTTATTTCATAAATTATGATTTCATATTTTTAATTTTATAATTTCTGTATGCGATCTTACCAGATTTAAACTGATAATCTATAATCTGGAAAAACCGATAATCCGGAATCGCCAAAGTCCTGAGGAGTCCGGATTAAAGACTTTTGACTGTATACATTGTTGGTAATAATGATTAGATTTATAGATTTAAATTATTTTTGCACTACAATAAAGTAAAAACAGAAGAATTTAAATATCAGTGTCTACTATATTATACTGTCATACTTGCATTAAAAATGTCAAGCCATTTTCACCGCATGAAACATTGTCAATATCTAAACACTCATTGTACACAATGTGTGTTTTACATTTGTAGAATAAAATAATAAATAACAACAAGGCTAACACTCATATTTCATTCAATAAGGCACCTCAAAATTTTTATATCAATTATGCATACTTAAAATCTTAAATGAAACATTGCATTTCAGCATATCATATATGGTACGAGAGCCAGCAATGGCACTTAGCTCCTGCATCATATTTGATAAGATTGGCCCACAGAGGGAAATGGAAACATATCATATATGATAAAGAAGACGCTTTGGACAAACCATAACTGAAGAGCAAATTAAAAAAAAAAAAAAAATACTGCAACATATTAAATACAAATTTGTTTTGATTTGGAGAATCCACTGTTGAGAAAGATGAGGAAAACCAAACAGGAAATCAGACAGCTATTGAAGATTGTCAAATCATATTTTATTAGATTTTGCAAGAAATTCTCTTCGTGCAATGATTCTTGGGGAAGAACAACATGATATTTACATCTCACTTATGCTATTCACCAAAACTTCTTGCTCATAGCAACTTTTTTTGTTGCATTTCCATGAATTAAAAACACTCCCAAAAGCAATATATTGAATGAAAAAAGTAACTTAGTGATGTGGATCAGGTATATGATATCTTGCTTATCTTGAATAATATTTTGCATCAAGAGCTCTAGAATTATTTCCATGCTTCTGGTGATACACTAAATATTGAGAGAAATGAACAGATGCTGGTGCAAAACACTTTGAAGTAAACTAAAATATGTAGTGTAAAGTATAATTACTTAAAAATAATTCTGGTTGTTTTGGGGTATCTCCTTATATATATGTAATATTTTCAATAGACTGGAATTGGAAATGATGAAGCTTTGCAATCTGGTCACATCAGAGTTTGAGTGTGGTCGTGGCAGAGTGGAAAACATCAGAATTGAAGACACAGAAGAATTTAATTTTATAGCTCCATATCTTTACTCAATGCAAATGGCAGATCATTATTCTTTCAAATTCTCTAAAACTACATATCCAATAATGATTTAAAGTAAAATAAAGTTAAATTTAAGCTTTCAACTTCATAACTATTCTAACAAAGGGAAGAAGAAGCGACAGAGGACAGCAAGGTCTTATGGCAGTGATGGCAGGGTGCAGTCTCAAGAAAAGTAGCATGAACTCTTCATTTATAACAGTGGTTATGTAAGGTTATGTAACATAACCAAATGTTATTGAAATAACTGCTCTAGGGGGAAGATCCTGAAATTGCGGAAAGTTAATTAGAGGTTGCCTGTTCGCGTAGCAAAGCCATCGTATTTTTTATATTTTACATTTTTCAAGCCCATAGAATGTTTTATATTTTTAAGCCAAACTAGAGCAGCATGATCAGTATGTACAGTAAAATTATTACTATGTAAATAATAATAGAATTTATCAATTGAATCAATAATCGCTAAGCATTCCAGCTCAGTAATTGCATAACTCTGTCCATAAGATCTTAATTTCCTAGAATGAAAAGAAATTGGATATAAATTACCATCAGGATGTTCTTGCTTTAAAGCAGCACCAATAGCTTCTTTAGATGCATCAAGAAATACATGACAGGGATATCTGGGAATAAATAAAGTTAAAATAGCCCTAGAAATTAATGCATCATTTAATTTTTGAAAAGCTATTTGACATTCATGAGTCTATCTTTAGGTGGTATATTTTTTAAGTAAATTTGTTGGTGAAGCTCTAATTTTAGCATAATTTTGTGGTAATTAATACTTCCCCAAAATCTTTGCAATTTTTTAAAATTTTTAGGGGGAGAGTAATTTCTTTATAACTTCTATATTTGCATTACTGGGCTGGTATTTATTTACCTGCTTGCATTTCATATCCTAGAAAATTTATTTTTTTCTTTTGGAAAATTACATTTAGATTGTTTTAATTTTATATTTTCTATCTCACATATATCAAATATTATTTTAAGATGGTTTAAATGTTCATCAAAATTTGGAGAATATACTATAATAACATCAAAATAATTTAAAGCGAATTGAATCTGATATTTGTTTAAGATTTGTCTAAGAGCTCTTTTAAAAACAGCTGGAAAATTTTTCCAACCAAATGGTAGTCTATTAAACTCTTAAAAGTCCAAACTTTGGAGTAAATGCTAATTTTTCAGTATCTTTTTCACTTAATTTATATGCCAATAGCCTGATGCTAAATCCAATGTAGAGAAAATTTTTGCATTTGTTAATTGATCTAATACAGCATCAATTCTAGGAATGGGCTCAGAATCAGGTTTTGTAATTTGATTAAGCTTTTTATAATCAATACACAATCTGGTTTTTGCTTGTTCATCATGCTTATAAGCTAAAGTTACAGGAACAGCAAAAGGACTATAAGAAAGTTTACCAGCATTTAACAACTCATCTATTTGTTTTGTAATTTCACTATTATCTTTAGGGGACGCTCGATATGGTCTATAAGCTATAGGTAATTCAGAGATTAACACAACTCTAGGGGGTTAATTCTTAATACAACCAATATCATATACATATAAGTAATATTAATTTCAAACTAACAAAAGCTTTGTACAGACTTGCTTATTTCACATTCCTTTAAAATACTATATAAATGTAAGTCTTTATATTCTGAAATTCAATACAGCATTTTTGTACTTTTCAAGAGTGATTTTGGTGCTTTGCTTCCCCCCCCCCAAGTAAAATAAATAAATAAAAACTTTATTAACACTTCTAATTTGTTAAAATTTTATTTGCAGATGGAAAACTCTTCTTGATATTTATGCCCTATTAACCAGAAAATGTACTATAAAAAAGCTTTATAAATATTGCACTTATTTGAATATTTCTCTCTCTTGCTTAATCGTCCAAGTAAATTTTTCACCACATTATTGTTGAATATTTGTTTTATGGTAGCATTAATTGCATTGTATAAGCAAATAACCAACAGTAAAAAGTTAAACTGTCTTAACTTCTTTGAAACAAAGAATGCACTAATGTTAATACATACACTCAGAATTTTGGGTATGCTACGCTTTTTTAATCCTTCTCGTCAAAAAAATATTCCATAATATTTTCTTCTCTTGATTTTCAAGAAACAAAATATGTTGGGAAAAAAAAAGGGGGGGTGAGAGATTGTGAAAAGAGGAAGAATATGTGAGTAGTACAATATTTTTGTCACCACATGATATTTATGACCCAACCATAGCTTGTACATTATTGCAGCGCAATAAACTCTAATGATAAAACTTTAACAATACAAGATACTGTGAACTATATATGATTATATAATTCAATACTTAAAAAAATATGAAGGATACTAATGCGAATGAAATCTTTTAAGTTACACTTTGGTAACCTTGGATCTTCTTCACAATAAAAGTCTAAATAAAACCAATGGGCTAGTTCAATTTGAAAACAAATACGAATCAAATCCACTCTTTCTTCTTCAGGAACATTTATAATAAAGCGACTAAAATAATAAAAATAATTTTTAAGAAGCAAGTATAGTCATAATATATATAAAAGCATATCAAAATATGACAAATAAAAGTATATAAATTATACTTCAAAGCATTTCAAAGCTAATTTTAAAATGTATTAATTAAAAAATTAAATACAATTGATATTCAATGAATGTAAAATACACATTATATTACAAAATTTTTTTACTCACATTTAAGAAAGAATTTTTCATACACAAAGTACAAAATATATGTCAAAATCATATTTTTTACAAAAAAAAAAAAAAAAAAAACCCTAAGAAAAAGAATCAATACAGGTTATAGATACAGACAGAAAATAAAATTTATTTACTTATCAATGCAACCTTCTAAAACATACTCAACAAACAAGTCTATTTTTAATGTTTGCATGTCAAAGTTAAATACCTTGTAACTTGGATTTTAATTTTTTTACTTTACATACTCTTTCCCTTTACGTACTTTAGGAATCTTTTATTTTTTTAATGTCCACCTCACATTAGTGTATAATTAACCATAAAAGTCATGCTTCATTTATATATATATATTTTTTATGAAGATGGTGGTGGTGGGATTATCATTCAGTATTTTTTACTTTTATTTTTAGTCTAATGATGCAACTTTATTTTTTCTACATAAACAAATTCATACCAAAGACAAAACTTATGAATTAAATCTTACAATTTAAAAATTTGCCTTCTATTCTAAGTTTCAGTCAGCCTGATAAACATCGTTTTCATGCTCATAAATGTCCTTTATTTTTCAGTAATAATTTTCCACAACTCATCTAATAACTAACAATTATAATTAGCTTCACTAAAAATCTTTACTGAGCATAAAATTTCTTCAATCATATTTTAACAAAAGCATATAAAAAGCAATCACATTTTAACAAAAGCAGACCAATACTATTCGGCTTTGAAGGCCGTAAAAAATTGCCAAACTATTGTTGATGCCAATGCTGCCAAAAATAATTGCAGCAAGAAAGGAAGTATAATAGTAAATAACTATCTAAGATTGATGTTTTAATTTAGATGAAAGGTTAATTTCATATTATACTTTTTTATTATTATAATTTATATGAAAAAGGCTAAACATGACTGAATGGAAGCATAAGAGTAAATAACTATTTTAGATCATTATTATAATTTATATAAAAATTGCTAAACATAACTGAATGGATGCCTGCATCGCTGTTTCGCTACAGACTTATCGCTAAAGCATAATTTCATCTCGTTGGTTGTTCAAACGTAGTTTTCTATAATGAATGCCTTTTCTTTGAAAATATTCTCGGTAAGTGCAGAATCGCTCACTTATTTGTTTGCCGCTTTTTACAAGGGTAAAAACAAGTGGATTTGTGTCAATTTTCTTTTACATTTTAAGTGAAAATAGGTTGATGTATACATAGATAAAGTCAAAGGTGTCCGCAGTGCCATTTTTGTGCAATTCTAGGGATTTTTTTTTTTAAGTGCAAAATAGGGTCGATGTGCACATGGATAGCCGAGTATGTGCAATTCTTAAAAATGCGTCAAGTACAGTGGGTGATTCTGCACTTTACCCAAAATTCTATTGGCCGACTTTTCGTCATGGGCAATTCCCAAATTGTTAAAATCCATAGGATATCAAAAAAGATTTAAGATCAAAAAAAGATTTAAAAATTAAACTAGTATTTCAATGGCGTCTTAAGAAATATAGAACTATATAAACTTACGCAATCTGAAATCAGCACGTACGCTAGATTTGGCGCGCTGTTTAAACGGACGAGTTTGCTAGATTTGGCGCTTTTGCGCATACATTTTTGCTGCAATTTTCTTACGGCCCTCAAAACAGAATAGTACCAGTAGACTTTTTTTAAAACAAGAAAAATTGTATATCTCACCTGCTAAGATCATTCAAAAGATCTGTTGGAATGTAGGAATTTAAACTTGATTTCCTTAATATTACTGTCTCAGCCATATATGCTAGAAAAATTTAAAAAAAAAAAAAAAATCAACATTTCTATAAAAGATGCATGGCAATATTTTTGAATAATTTTCTTTTTAAACCCTTATAAAATCAGCCCTAATAAATATGAACAACAGTTAAAAAATTACCATACAAACATTCTGCTCAATATAAAGAAATTCAAATGAAAAACTTAAAAAATTATTTAATTCAAATATTAAGGGTAGAAAAAAAGACAGACTTAAAATAAAAAATTCTTAGTTCCTTAGAAATTCTTTATACACAAATACAGTACCTGCCACTTATTAAAATCACTTCTGTTCCACGCATATTTGAATTTATTAAGTGGCTGAGGTTAATAAATGGAGATTTCAATATTCCAAACTATGGTATCAACTCTGAACTTATTAAGTAAGATAGTAGTCTTTAATTTATTAATTAATACATAAATTATTAATCAAAATTAAACTATTCACAAAACTTAGAAATTCATTATTTATTTATTTATTTTTTATAAACAAATTTTTTGCAATTACCTGCCTGATGAAATTTTGAATTTTTACAAAGAGATGCTCTATCCATATTGGTTTCCTGCTCTATCCATATTGGTTTGTGAAATCTTTCAATTGCATTTTCCATTTGTTCATAAAACTGTTTTGGTAACTTCTCTGATTTCTACCTTTCAATTCAAGCATTCTGTTGGAATGTAGGAATCGAATGTTGGAATGTAGGAAGTCTGCAGTATTTTTCACTATTCAGCTGAGGTTGGCACATAGTCACATTCTTCTATATCACTTTTAATGTAATTTTCAATTTTGCTGTCAATTGTAATTTCTACAGCTGTTTTAATTCTTTCACTAACATCATCAGTGTTTTCATACACTGTCTCAATATTGGGAGCATAGTTATTTAACAGTAAAGCTTTGCCCCCCTTCCACTGTTTTATGTCTCATTTCAAAAGAAAATCAGTAAAAATATTGGCTTGTCATCCATAAGTTTTTGTTATTATGATAAGTTAACAGTAAATTCTTAGCTTCTTTTAAACTTTTTCATGTTGATTGTATCACATTATGGCAAAGAATGGGCAGTGAAATGTTACATTGAAATGCCAGTGGCCTTTCCCAGAATAAGAAGACCCAGATGTCACTCATTCTCAAGATATTGACTGATTTTTCATTGTTGAAGCTAACCTGCCCTTAAATGAGTTATGCAGTTACCCATTTCCTGGTTTTTATTTGCATCTTCAAGTCAAGAAAAACTGAAGGGATTGCAGCTAGAAGGGCCCAGCTGCACATTTTTAAATTTTCATGAAATATTTTTTAAAAGATCTCAAAAATTCATTTTTAAACTTATATTCTAAACTTATGTCCTCATTAAAAGTGCTAGTAAAAATGATTTTTTACGACTACTTACTCTAATACAAAGAACTTTTTTTTTAACAAGACCAAAAAAAAAGACCCATGAACACAAAAATTGACCGAAGTGGAGTAGTGCCCTTCTTGTTGCAAGCCCTTCAACTGCCAATGGAATCCTGATAAGCGCAAGGCAAAAACTCGCATCATCTTTTTCTGTCATTAGTGATCTACAACTGAACGCACAGCTGGACCTCTACGACTATGCTGGGGACATTACTATCGCCAGCATAGTCATAGAGGATCTTTCAAACTCTGAGAAATTAAAACTTACATCTCTTACATCATGACTCTTACATTATGACTTGCCTGATATTCTGATGTCTGATCCTGCCGTTAAGCCTACACTGTTCTCTGATGATCTACACTTCTGGAGCTATGTTATAAAGAATTGACAAAGCCTGAATGTTGATCTCAATGATGCCTTGGGAAGATTGGATCTTTGGTGCAAGAATAACAGCATGATTTTAAACCTAAACAAAACAAATTTCCAGTTTTTTTACCTTGAACAGAGAGCACTTTTTATTCTACCTTCTTTACTGTGGTGAAGTATTAGGATGCAAACTTGATTCATGTCTGAACTAAAAAGAATGTATTTCTTACATAAAGGAACAAGCTGAAAGGAGACTTCCAATTTTGAAAAGGCTGGTGGGCTGCCAATGGGGGTGTAACAGAGAAACGTTAATAAATACATATAAAATGTACATTTAACCATTATTTTATTACTGTAATGAAGTTTTGGTGACTGCTTCCATCAATACAGTTAACATTTTGGCAAGATTACAAAAATAGTCTTTTACCCCAATAACAGGTGGAGTTAAATCCACCACCACAGCGGTTAGGGAAGCCTTAACCAATATTTCACCTGTCATGCATGACATTCATAAAATGCTGCAATTTAATTTCAAAAACTTTGCAGGCTCCCAAATAATAAATATTCGAGGAATAACAATTTTAACAATGATAAAAATTTAAAGACATAAGCGAGTTTCAATCAAATTGGTTATCAATTAGCACAAGACTTAGACCCAGTTCGAGAAATTAATGTAATGACTGTACCCTTGTGTCCTCTTGAATGTGGTGACTTCTGCGTAGACCTTGAACTTGATGAGAAAAATTGATAAGAGTGAGATGCCCACTGCCCAGATCAAAGCTGCTGCTTATAAAACTACTGAGCGAAGATATCCCAATCTCTGGACCCATGTTTACACTGAAGGATCTATGATTGAGTGAGGTACTGGAGCTGATGCAGGAATCTATTGTAACCATTTTGCATTCTGTAAGGCAGTGGAAAGAGATACTACCAATTTTGATGGTAAAGGTGAGGCTATATTTATTACTCTGAATCAAGCGCTCAGAAGAGACTGTTATTTTATAAGCAAAGTTGCTTTACGGCTATCTCCAACAATAAATTTTGCACTACCGAACAAATTTACGAATGTAAGAAGATTCTCAACACTCTAGCTAATGCAGTTGTCTTACAGCGGATTCCTTCTCATTGTGGCATTGAGGGGAAAAAAACAGCAGATTTCCCAGCAAAGAAAGGAATGACTAAACAAGAACAGTCAAATTCAAACTAAAAATGTGGATTAGTGGTCAAAGATTATGCAATTTAATTTCAATTTAATCTGGCTCACTAACTCTCATATGAGGAAATAGAAATGGGAAATTATAGTAAAGGCTGAAATCATAAATAATTGGGTAATTTACAAAATAATAACTGCACATATCTTTGAAGAATAACTTTCTTTATGTATTCAATTTCTTTCTTCAACATGTTTCCTTTTCATTTTAGAATTTTTGGATTTAATTAAGGATTTCTGTTATTCTAAAAAACTCTAAATGCATTTAGAATGCACAGAAAATAATTTTATTTAGTAATATGAACATTCAAAAAAATTTGAAATATATATGGTAAAGGTTGGTTACAGAGCTAGCTGATGTGGCAGAATTTTTAGAATTTAATGGCACACCAAACAACAAAATCTAGAAATGGCAAAACTTTTAGAATTCAGAGCTGGCATTGGAAGCATTTAGAAAGACACCAGGCAACAGAATTTAGGATCCACAGAGTGGGAAAATGCCTAGTTCCAGCTATGTGTATGGTGCATTAAGACATATTAGATTAATCTTTTAAATTGTAAGTTTTCAATTTCTTTATTAATAAAAAAATCCCTTTCTATAATGCCTGCCAATGTGATAAGAAGCATTTTTGATATTTTTCCATGCTTGTGTCTAGAGAAAAATAGAGGAAATAAAGGGAAGATAAACATGTTAAGATTCTAGTATCAGTAGTAAAACATTCAAATATTATGTTTTCATTGTTCTTCCATGCAAACTTTCTGGTAAATACATCCATTACATGTTTTTCATTTTGCCACATATTTCTCGAATCTTCTAAATTGTGGCTCTATAAATCTTGCCTTCAAATCCTTCTAAACTTTCCAAGTTGCAATGTCTAAAATCCTAAAGAAAAATTATCCCTACCAATTCTGTAACAGGAAAAGGCCAGAAATATTTTGGAAAAAAAAAGGGTGGAAGTGTAAAATTAATTTTATAGAGAAAAACTTATGCATATTCTGAGCATTCTAAATATTCTGAGACCATTACATGAGAAAAAATATTACTATGAAAAAATTAAAAAGATGACATTTTTAATTAATTACATAGCTAATTTTGCTTTCGCTAAGAGCCATTTCATAAATTGTGCTTTATAGCATTATACCTTCTTTATTTTTCAGATTCAAAATATTGTATAATAAGTTGCCAAAATGAAACTTTATACTATGACAGCGAAAAATAAAAGTGTTTTATTTTAATGTTATTTTTTAAATATAATTTCAATATATTGCCAATATTTTAATGAAATTTATCAATATTACGATGTTTAAAAAAAAATTGTCGAAAAAATTCTCAGATCTCAGAATTAAAAATTTTCTACAGCAACTGATCTTAAAATCACCAAAATATTGATAAGTTGCGAAATTTAGAACCGCTTAATATAAGAATTCACATCCCCAAAAGCGAAAAATTGTTTAAGAGTTCTTTATCAGAAAAAATTAATTTCACTATGCTTATGTTTCACTTCTTGCTTAGAACCTCGAGTATTACATCATTTATATTAGAAATAAAAACAAATTAACCCATAACCTCCATTCAAAAGATAACCATATACATCAGTGAATCGCCAAAAATATTCCTCAAAATGTCACACTCAAAATGGCAATCGTAACATTAGTCACATTAGACGTAACATTAGACAGAAATTTCAGGTAAGTAAAATTAAGGACGAACTTCTGCTGATTTTGGCCAAAATTAAGGACTTTTAAGGACCAAAAACCAATTCCAAAAAATCTAAGGACTTTTAAGAACTCTTAAGGACCGTACGAACCCTGTCGTACTGATTTCCAAGTTTAACAAAATTTATTGAAGGATCCTGAAAGTGAGCCTAGAATATCACTCAGATACCAAGCTGCAATCCCCGAACAGCAAAAAGGAAGCAGGGGTAGAGGAATCATCGGCCAAGCAGATCCAACCGGCGAAAGGTCCAGGTTTAGTGAAAAGGAGGAAAACAATACCCACGAAGAAACCTGCCAAAAGAGGTG